TCTTTATTAATATGGAACGAGAATTTCACCTTTTTTATATCAATCACAATTTTTCGCTTTGTGAAAAATAATTTAAGACAAAATAAAATATTTTTAAATAATCATGTTAAAGGAATTATATAGAAAATCGATATTTAGATGTTGGATATCTTCTGGTTCTCTGATATTTAACCGAATTAATTATTAATTTAGTTATTAACATAAATAAATGTATTATGATTATCATATATTAGTAATATTCACGAGCGGGAATATTACATGCCTCAAAATTTATCGAGCAACTACATTGTCATTATACTACGGATTGTTTGATATTACGGATTGCGTTTATCAGTAACATCCCGCGATATCTCTGTGCTGTTCGTATCCTGATTAACAAAAGTCGCGACCGTTACCATACGCTCGTGTTACCGAATTCTACATGTATAGAATCCGCCGCTAAAGGGGATTTCACGCAATAATTATCGTGTTTAGGAAGGCGGAGGTCAAGTCTCCGACCCTCATTAGCGCGAGTCGACATTTCTCGTTTTCCGGCCAATTGGTCGCGCCAACCGCATAGCAGAATTTCAAGCTCAACCGCTTGCAGAGAACATAGTGTACAAAGGATCGCCGGATGTACAAATACTAGCGATCGTAATCGAAAATTTGAGAAGAGCTAATTATTTCTACGTAACAATCATATGAGACATTTTTCTCGTTGTAGAAAACAAAGAAAAATTTTTGAAAGTAGTTTAATTAAAATTCAAATATTTTGTTGTAAGAATTGTTTTGGAATTTTGGGTTGTATTATAAATTTTAAAGAAATCTTACTTCATTTGAAAGTAATTGTGCTTTCTAATTTTTTTTTCTTTATATTTATCGTCGATGGATAATGCAAAGATAGCGCGTTAGAAATGAATATAGCAGAGTAAGATGAACCTAATTGCGAATGAGCGTGCAGTGTGGTGAATAGCGTTCGTTTGAATGCAGCTGCTTTATTTTCATTTACTTCCGCCGCGTGCTCGTAGAGCGAAAACCTCGCAACACGATTAACTTAATAAAAGCCCTTAAACAAATGGGATTTCGAGGAAAATTGTGCGGTAGCAGCCGTAATCAAATCGATTCAATTAAATATTTTTTACATATTGGCAACAAAATTGCTTTTTTTGCAATAAAAAAAGGAAAATTTTATTAAGACAAATAATTAAAGAGTAAAAGCGTACTGATATGAAAAGATAAGTGGTAGATAAAAATATATTTGCCATCATCTTCTTTAATACTCAGCTAATAACTGCTGAGAGTATTTGTGCAGGAAAAGCGGTTAATTAGCGCAACGGTAAATCGGCAAACAAATCGTATCGTTCTTTGAAATCGGGTATGATGCGCGTAATTATATAATGAGAAAATAAACGTGAATGCACAGGCATGCCGGCTGGAGTAAAATTACTTGCAACCGCGGCAGTTTTTGAAAGAGAAAACCCATTAAATTACTTTACAAAAAAATGTCATGAAATTTTTTTGTCCTGGCTGAAAATTGTAATCGAAACCGCAAAGAAAAGTCTTTTATTATTTATTTTTATTAGCACTTTTTTATTTTAGCCTCGCATTGTTCGACGATTTTTCTGTTAAAAGTAGAAAAATGCTGATTGATAAAGGCAGAATTTACGTGAAAAATTATTACTATACATTAATGATTTATTATAATCTATATTATAATATAATATATAAATTGTGTATATTTTTCAAAAATTGAAAATTGTGACTAGTAATAAAGAAGATTTGTAAAAGGCGCTAGGGAAATCGTCTCTTGCAATTACATTTGTTAGAATCGCGACCAACGCGCGTATGCGTGCATAAGAAAAAGGATCGACCATCTCACATTTCCTTTCATTCAATTCGCCTCACGATCGTGATACCAGTTTCCGCGATTTCCCTCGTGACATTGATATTATCATATTTTCTGGCAATGAGAGGACACCATGTCTCCTTCTTGAATCCTCTCGCATTTCTTTATCAAAACAGATGTGAACGAGATTTCGTATATTAGTCATTTATTTCTTTTTTTATCGTTTTGGAATATTGCGCTATTTATAATGCGAATTTTCCATTCGCATTCTATATCTCATTACGATATTTATGTAAAATAAATATTTTTAAAAATAATTTTAAATACAATATTATAAAAGAGATAATTTGTATGTATATGTTTACTGCCTAATAAGAAGTCTATGAACAACTTAATTTTGCCACATCAGTCGTTATGCATTGATTTTAATATTAAGCATTTTAATTTGCATTAACGAATATTATAAAGCCAGGAGAATTTTTTCTATTAATGTTTCAGCCGGAAAAGATTACGATTAGATGGTAAAAGCAATTACTTGTTGACAACAAGCAGTGCGTCGTGAAAACTACGCTTTGCTGTCGTTCCGTATTGATCACTTCTGTAATAGCAAATTTTGGAGGCAATACCAGCGTATTGGGCGAGCGTATTAATTAAATTAAAATATGTGTTAGATCGAAGGCGAAATTCCGGTTTACGGTCACGATATACATTGTTCACGTCCCATTCCAACTGCCGCGACATAGTTAAGTAATAACTGGAAGCATGAGAGCAATTCGGATGGCTGGATGTAGTACGTGGAGGGGTGAGCGGAAGACAATACGAGACGTCCGTATGCACGTCGCGCCGGTATTCGTCGCGAAGATGTCGTGAAATCCCGTTAGAACTGAGTGGGATGGCCATTTACGTAGGCAGACGTTCTCCCTTCGGATTAGACGAGACGTTTGACTGCAGACAATCCATTCACGAGAAACAGGGGAATGTTCATCGAATTAGAACTCGCTTTGACGACCCGTGGAGATTTTATGACACCTGAGCGTCATGTATCTCCAACTGTTGTAATTTCGTTCGGCTAAAATTGCGAGGAAATCAAATTATTTTTAATTGATGGCCATAATTGGATAGAGTTATGCAAGATTTAATTATTCTCTCACAAATTATGCTTTTAAATTAAATTTAACGTGCGGAATTTTATGTCGCCAGTCGTTAAGCATGTTATATGTATCATCTATCTTTTCACATTATATAAATTAACTTGTTTCCGTAAAACGCTAATTATTATATAAATAATTGCAATTGATGCAACAAATTTTGTTGTAATTTAATTTTATTCATGAAAAAATAGATATAAATATCTGAAATTGTAGAAACGTAAATTGATCATAACTCAATTATAAATCAGCATTTTTTCAAGTATTCGATAGAAAAAAAGTTAGATAATGAAAGAAAGAAAAAATTGTAACGTAGTACATTTTCTCAGAGAGCTGCTCTTTATTCTCCATTTCGCCAGCGCTTGCATTAAAAATTAATTATTCATTGAATCATCCATCTCCGAGATTACACTCTTCAGTCTGCCTTAATCCGTCAAGTAGTATTAGTACTTCTACAAATATTCTAATAATTTCAGACAAAATTATGTACGTTGGTAAAAATGTAAAAGCAAGAAAGCAGTTTTCGATACACGAATGCAGCAACGTGTTCATCTCAAACCAAGAACAAAATTAGAATGATACTCGACAAATGGAAAAAGAAATCCCGAGTGATCTGCGTTCATCACCGCTCTGTCGTCACGTATTTTTGGACGCTCATTTTACTTTGTATGGATGACCGTCGATCTCTTGCACATACATTATTATTAACATCCTTATATAATATTAAAATGCATAACACAAGTGGCGATTTATACGAATTACGTATAAAAGCGATTCATATGATTACGTGTAAAAGCGTAGCTCTTGATATATTTAAAATACAAGTTGTATAACAGATAGTTAGATAAATACACAAAACTCCTTCATAAAACATCTTCATAAAACTCCTTTTAGAAAAAACGTTTTTTTTTCTAACAGTAGAGTTATAAGATACCAAAACGTCATAAAGGAAGGCGAACGAGCCTTAGTTCGTTATTCGTGCTAAAATCTATATAACTGTAATTCTTCATTACAAATGTTTAAGTCTTCAGTGTAGATCTTCGGTGTAGATTGCAAGCAAATATTATAATAGAAGTTCGGAATAAATATAAATGTCGGTGTAAAGCTTAATGTGTTATTTTGTTATGTTATTCGTTAAAAAGTCAATCCACAAATAAAAAACTATAGTATCAAACATACCGCGTAATAATAAAATACCATTTGCAAGTCATTTTAATAAAATAATTGAGATACATACTTGTTGACCATGATTAAGAGAGTACAAAAAACACGCCAATAATTAGACCATAAGATATATGTTCTCATTCTTATGTCAAGTGTTTTCGGACAGATGGAGGAGGATCGCGTGCGGAAAAGAGAGTGAATTTAGTTTAAACTCACACGTCTCTCTAAGGTAGAAAAAAAAGAGAATGAGACGGAGAGTGAGTATGTTTGATATTAGTTGTTCACTTGGATTAACCTTTTAACATATAACGAGACAAAACAATACACAACTTCATTGTAATATGAACACACTGAAAACGAAGAGTTGTTAGTATACAGATTTTAACATGAATAAAGCACGAATATCAGCTAACAAAGCCTCGTTTGACCACCTTATGACATTTTCACATTTTATCTTCGAGTCTTTATGCGCTGCGCGTGAACTTGGCGTGAGACACTACCGTGTCTCTTGATTATTCGTCAAGTTATAATAATTGTGAAGAATAATAATTAAGTCAATAATACAGCTTACGTTCTCTATTCTCTCTTCAAATAATCGATATAGAGAGCTTATCCAACTATTTCTTCGTTTGTGTTATTTTATTTTAATAAAAATTTATGGAAATTGACATATATTATTAAAATTCTAGTTTAAAGTAACAAAAAAGGCTCTAGTCATCGCTTATTGTTTATAAAAAAATTATTAACAAATAAAATTAGGAATAAATTACAGTGTATCTTTAAAATAATATTATTTCCAGTAATTTTATTTTAAACACAATGTTTTTGTTACAATGTAAATGTATTTATATTTTACAGATAAACTTTCGATGGCTACTTCGATGCTGGTGAATCATCATATTTGCCTCGCCGTAAATTCGTTCCGTTCTATCCGTTCTATAATAAAATGTGTGTTGCGGGTGCTATCTTTCTTTCTTTGTTGCAACTCTCTGTTGCAAGATATCCGTGCCCCAATTTTCATTTTGCTATAATGTAATAAAACGCGCATCGAGAGTGCGGGAGTGTCGTTATACCGGGAGTGCCGTTTAAAGTATCGCTCGATTTTTGTATTTGGATGTGTTCGCGAGCAATGCGAACATGATCGCGAACGCGTGTGAGTGCCATTAAAAAGCAGGAAGCCCAGGGAATATCGAACGATGTTGGAGCAACATTGTGGTAAGCAGTTTATCGCAAAATATATGAACTTTTTAGTAATGGTGGTGGGATTAGCTTAATATGAAAGTTGTCTTACGTAATTTATATATTTTTTGTTTAATTCTAAATAATTACCGGAGATTGTAAATTATGCATTGTCTATTAATAGAAAAAAAATTTAAGGCCAAATTAGAAAAGATAATTGAATAAGTTATAATATTATTTATTATAACTTAATACAATTTACATATTTTTCTATATTTTCGTGAAAATTAATTTATCCCAAGAACATAATCTTGCCGTCAGTTCCTGAATTATTCTCGTGATGCATAGGGAAATTTAGGTGCCGAGAGTACAAACGGTATGAGATGGACGTTAAAGTCAGAAATGAGCATCTCACGTTTCCGGAAAATAGTGTTATATGAAGAAAGGTCGACGTTTTTCTAACTGATTTTCCGCTTCTTCGTCTTGGTTGCGTCTTTTGCATTCGCCATTAAATTGTTTGTTAAAGTAGTGTTTTATATACTTAAGAAAAATATGCAAGATAAAAAAATATTTTTCTCAATGAGCAGAGCGATAGATGCGAATGCATGAAATACAGTTACGGAATTCTCCTAATTTCCGCAACACGTTTGACGAACAGAAAACACCTTTGCAGCTGCATCCTCAAAATTTATGAAAGTAATATAACGATTTATGACCGTGTGCGCAAAGGGCATCGGGTAAAGTTGATATAAAATATCTCGTGAAAAGTTAATTGCTTGAAGCAGGGAAATCCATCTCTGAAATATTTTTGTTTTTATCAATAAAATTTGCCCTTTTGCGAATATAAATAAATTACTACACGTAGATCGCAATCCACGCGATACATAGAAACGAATAAATCAGAAAAGGAAATATTGCTTTTCAAAGAAAAATGGGTTTTGCTATCTAAAAAATATATTCTTTGGAGTAAATAAATCAGAATAAATGTAAATAAATTTAAATATAAAAAATTAATATCAATTAGATATGAGAATTAAAACTTCAAAAATTGGATTGTCTAAATATTAAGCAATACATTTTGAAACTCATTGATGTACGATTTATAACTTTCGAGATAGCAAATTTATTGCAACATACCATAACAATTAATGATATTAAAAACGATGTAACCGACAAATTTGTTAGCTATTTATTCTTATTGTTAGTTAAACAACTAAGTAGTAAGGTATGTAAAATATCGAGAATTAATAAGAGAGAGGCAAGTTTCTCCCTACTTTACATGAAATCGGCATTTATGCTTGCAAATTTAAAATCCATTACCGGATATTTGCCATTATTGAGCAGCATAATGCTCGATATGTGAATTCAAGTATGATACAATCCTCGGAAGCGCGCACCGTGGAATCTCCTTACGTTGTAACGCCAAGGGGTTAAACGGACGTCGAAGTATAAAGTAGAAAAGTAGATCGTGCTTTGCTCGCATTCCGTAGGAATTGAGCTTGCGGAGAACGCCGACGTTTTTATTAGCTTCATTCTCGTTTTTCTCTCCATTACTTTTCACCATCTTTCCTTTTTCCGCGCATCTGCCGCGAATAATTTATCAACTATCAATAATAAGACGAATTAATCAGATATAATTATACACTTCAAAGAATGACGAAATTCATATCTCTAAACACGGCGAGTATATAATGATGATATGTTGAAAAACAAATTTGAAAATATTTTGTATTATTTTTTTCAAGAAAAATATGAAATATTATGTAAACGTATAATTTAAATAACAATTAAAATTAAAACGTTCGATACAAAAATGGAAGCCAGAGTGCAGTTGTACATACAATTATATTCCGCAATTATATTTTCGATGCGTTTGTCATCTGCACAATTCGATTTATAAGATGACTAAATTTAAAAAGTTACCTACTTTTTGATTCGATATTGTTTTAATACATAGACCAGAATCCTCCGGGAAATGGGTGCGCGATAATTCCGCTTCTTCGCTCACGCTCTCTTTTTTTTCGTTTCCGAAGCAGAGCTCCGATAACTTCAGAAAAGCGGCGAGTCTTCTCGTTTCCAGCCGTGACTCGAACTCGCATAGGTACCGGGCGCGTATACTCGCTCCTTCATCCTCTTTTTCCTCCTCGGCGAACTTCTTGGCGAAGTGCTGAAGTAATATCGACGAATTAGCAGCGACCGGGCGTTAACCGATGATATCGTCCTTTCGTACCCGTCGCCGACTTTTCATTGGCATCCGTGATATTCTGGAAGTCAATTTTGACTTTCTCCATTTTGGCGATAAGCGTCCGTCGTAAGTTCGATAGTTCGTCACGCGACGGCGAATTCTTCTTTACGAGAAATGCAGTCGCAATTCTGTCGGTTGCGCCCGAAGAATCTTCTCGTCGTCCTATGTAATTTGACGCATTGCGAGGGTGTCTTACGATCGAGGAATAAGATTTTTATCCTCACGAATGTCATGGTGAAAAACTTGAACAAAGGGATTCGCTCCCGAATACCGATAGTTTCTAAAGACGAAGACCGATTCATCGATCATAACTTAGAAGTGGCTTTTTCTTTTTCGTCTTTCGAAGTTATTTAAAAAGTTAGAAAGAGCTTACTGCCTTCTTATTCATTATTATAATAAGTAACTGGCTGAGAATAATTAGTGTCATCATTAAAATAACAGTCAAATATTAAAAAACACAATTTTAGATTTTGTGTTATCTTAAGATAGTTATACAAAAAAATGAGTTTATGTTGAACTTTTATTTTTACTTAATCACGCATGACCCGTTTTGTTTTATATTTCGATGTAAAAAGAGCACATAGTAGCGCAATATATTGCACTAACATTAAATAGAGACTTATTACTCGTCTGGTCGTGAATTCGAAGTATTTGATGTTGAAAGCTAAATCCCCCGGACAATCGTTGATTTCATTCGATCACATGAAAAAAATTCAATCAACCCGCAGCAACTCAATCAACTTTCACGATAGGAAATAAAGGTATCAAATTGATCGGTATATTCCTCTTCCGACAAACTGTACCGGAGAGTAATGTATAGAAAAGCTTCGTCGGATTTAAAAGCGCGAACTAGCACGGAAGTATTGAAGCGTATTTTACAGAAGGCCAATTTCGTAGCGATCGGCACAAAGCGATACGACGATGAAATTAGAGACGAAACTTTCAGCATAATTTCTTTACGAACAAATAGTAAGCGACGGTGAAATTCAACGTGTATACTCGTATTGTCTAAAAATTGTTTAAAAATATCCTAGCATTGTAAGACTGGTGTTTTATATTGCAAATTATTGTATATACAATATTTATAAATATTATTATTATAAGTTATTTATTATTTATTATTTTTATAAGTTTTTAATTTTAACAAGTTATACTTTTTCTACTTTTCTATTTTTATTACTTTTTGTCTTTGCTTGTAGACGATTAATGACCGTACAAAACATTACGCGTTCATTCTTGATTAATCTTCGTTTGATTAATGTGAGATGATGTTTGATATTCTTTGTGAAAAATTACCCGCGAATTAACTTTTAACGAGTTATAAACAAAGATAAGAATAGTGTCTGTAGAGCGTGAGAGGCGAAAAAAAGAGCGAAATAGCCGAAGCAGGATTCAGGGGAAGCCGGAATAACGACGTCAGCTCGGTCGGAACTAGTTTCCAACTAGTTCGACTAGATTGCCAATTGGTCGTTAGTCGCTCGGGGAAAGACTCAAAGGGCGGCTTTGGCGGGACGTGTGTATGTACGAGGGCATAGACTGGTGGTCGCCGAAGTGTGAAATCGGCGTAATTTAAGCAGTTTCGCGCGGGATGAAAGGGGGTTGGCTCGCGGAGAGGAAGAAAGAGTGTAATTACGAAATTCCGCGGAATTAGCGACTCATGCTTTACGAGATCCTGCATGTGAAATACAATACCGCGCGTACGTGACGAGGCATTTGCGACAATCGCTTTGTATCACGCTCCTCTTAAAGATTGCACATATTTTTTTTAGCAAAATAAACTCTTAAAATATTAGGGAAATATCCCTGATATTGTTAAATATATAAAAGTCAAGCATTTTTTAAATAAAAATTTTAATTTTTTTTTCTAGTGTATGAAATGTTTCTCATTTTAGAAGATTAAAATAATAGGATGCATAAAATATTTTATTTTATTTTGCTAAAAATTTTTTAATATTTCATATAAAATTATAATTTCAAAAATAAGACACGTAATAATTACTTTGCGTAATAATATTAGAATTCTAAATAGCGTTAAATATTATAAATTAATTATTATAAATAATATTGCTACTTGTATGCAAAAGAAAGAATTAACTATTTGAAGAGAAGAAATATACGCGTACTTAAATTATTCAATAAATTTTCCGAGAGTTGTTTACTAAAACTGACTTGGCAGTTTTATTCCGAGCATCCTTTTCATTATGTATGATCATAAATTAATATTTTAATAGCTTCGAATCTCATCTGTTAGAAAAAAGGTGATATGCTTGATAGTAGTAAAGAAGAAATATTTATTATCCCTTTTAAGTAATAATTGCACATGCAGCGAAATTAATGTTTTCGCTTAGTTTTTCTGAGCGCTAATTAGAAGCTGCCAGTATTTTTCGATCGACTTTTCCCAGAGCGAGTAGCCCGACGGCGTTATACAGAATTTGTAACGAAGCTGAAAGAAACGTGCAGCGTTTTACGCTGCTGACTATTTCAGAACAATATTTCTCTTTGCTTTTATAGTATGATGAAGGATTGTACTCCCAAATGAGTCGGTTGCGTTCCATCGTGTTGAAATGTATAGAACACTATTTTACCCTCAACTGCATCTAATTAGTGCAACACGAAATATGTTTGTGAACAAAATATTTCGGAGTAATCATGTCCAACAGGTATCTAAATAATGGCCGGTTGTTAGTGATTTGTTAGTATATATTTTACATCCCTGTTGAATATTCGAAAATATTTGTTGAAACAACGAAACTTTTAATGTTTTTTCGAACAGTATCTTTTATTTTCTATA